TGATAGCATTTAAACCTTTTAGGAGTTGATGAATACCCTACAAAAATGTATTTAACTGCTCTAAGATCCAACTTCCCCCTATTATGACTGTGAATATGAACAAATGATGTACAACCAAATATCCTAGGTGTGAGGTTATTTGTGGTATTAAAGTTGGATAGAATTATTAGAGTAGTTCCATAAGAGTTTTAAATCCCAAAAACTTTAAAGGAAACATATTTATAATATGTGTCGCAGTAAGAATAGCTTCCCCCTAGTAGGATTTGGGTACGTTTGCTTGAAAGAGTAAAGCTTGGGATGTGGCTAGTAAATCACTATTTTTCCTTTCTACCTCTCCGTTTTGCTGTGGAGTATCAACACAAGATGACTCATGGATAATTTCCTCCTTTTGGAAATAGGTAGATAGACTTTGGTTGAAATAGTGTCTTGCATTTTCAGACTTAAATCTCTTGATTTTCACTCCAAATTGATTTTGGATTATGTTTGGAAAACTTAAAAACAAACTATTTACATCTGATTTGGATTTAAGTAAAAATATCCAAGAGATCCCAGTACAATCCTCTATGAAAGAAACAAACCACCTTGTACCTTGCACCAGAAGTATTATGAATTGTAGATGGAACCTATGTCACTATGAATCAAGTAAAAAGGAGTAGAATTTCTTTTATTGCTATTTGAAAAAAAAACACGTCTATGCTTTGAAATATTAGGAATTGTAGAGGGAGCCCATGTCACTATGAAGCAAGTAAAAAAGAGTAGAACTTCTTTTATTGCTATTTGAAAAAAAAAAAACATGTCTATGCTTTGCAAGTTCACAAAAAATCACAATGAAAATTTTTGGCATTTAATCCATTGAACAAAGAAGGAAACGTGTTTTTCAAAGTTTCAAAAGAAGGATGTCCAAGATGAAAATGATAAAGCAAGATTTTGTCTTTCTTGGGAGATTTTTCAGAAAGAATTGACAAAGGTAAACTATTCTTGATATTACTTGTATTGTTTGATATCTCAAGATAGTATAGTCTATCCTTCTCTTTAGTGAGTCTAATCTTTGTCCCCAAACTTTGGTATTGAAATTCACTACAGGAGGGATAAAAAATCACTTTGCAATTCATGTCGCTAGTAAGTTTTTGTATGGATATCAGATTAGTAGACAATCCAAGACCGTGAACATTTTAAAGAACAAATGAGCAATTAATTTGAACATATCCTAATCTAGCCACTGTAGTAAGTGAACCATCTACAACAATAATTTTTTTATTACTAAGACATAGGGTATATATATTAAATTTCTGTGAGGAATGTATCATATGGTCTGTAGCTCCTAAGTCAATGACCTAAGAACTTGTAATATGGTTAACTGAGACATTTAATCCATAAGAACCAGAAGTTTTACCGGAACTAGAGACTTTACCCAAAGAACATACCCTAGTAGGCTTTTCAAGGGTTTTCAATAGGCTTCTTAGTTTCTCAATCTCTTCTCTGTCCAATTCTCTTTGTTCTTGAGATTTTTGTAGTACTTCGGTGGTTTTACTAGTTGTCACTTCTTTAAATCAGGTAGTAGTGGCAGATTCTATTATCTTTGGCATGGTTATCTTTCTCAGGACTAAAACAAGTCTTGATAGTAAAAGTTTAACCAGAGACTGTTCTAGGCAATGAAAGCTAAAGAAGGAAAAAATAAGATCAAAAGATTTAACAAGATTTGGCTATGAAGGCTTAAAATAGGATTTAGCAATGAAAGTTGAAAAAAAATTTTCCCAAGAAAAGCCTAAAGCTTTGATACCATGTGGAAAAACTAAAAAATAAAACTGTGAAAAAATAAGAGTAAAACTAAATGTATATTGAAAAACTGCCTTTTTAGATTTATACAAGTACCTTAGGTTTATATACAACTAACTAGTGGTAAACTATGATACTAAATCTTTCTAAAACTGATCTTATAATTAAAGGATTGTCTGTCTTATTTTTCTATCCTTAATTTTAGGGATATAAATACTTAATTCTAGGATACAAATATAAATATACGATTACAATATTACAACTAGATGTAAATAAGTGTTTTCCCATAGAAGCAACACATCCAACTACTTTAAGAGATAAATCAAAAACTAAGCATGACATTGGAAAACATTTTTCAAACATTTTTAATGGTGTTTGAAAGTTCAAAACTCTTGATGGCATTCTATTATTCAGGTAAGTAGCAGTAAGAATAACTTCCCCCCACAAGTATTTAGGTACTTTACTTATAAACATTAAAGACCTAGCTACTTCTAAAAGATGTTTATTTTTTTCTTTGTGCCACTCTGTCCTATTGTGGAGTGTTAATACAAGAGCTTTGATGAATAATCTTTTTTTCCAGAAAATATATTCCAAGAATCTGATTAAAGTATTCTTTTTGGTTATTACTTCGAAACACTATAATTTTTTCTTGAAATTGTGTTTCAACCATATTATAAAATGTGTTGAAAACATGTTCAACATCTGATTTTTCTTTGAGTAGATAAAGCCAACAAATCCTGTTATGATCATCAATTAATGTTAGAAACCATCTTTTTTCAGAAATTATTGGTGTTTTACATGGACCCCACACCTCATTGTGAACAAGAGCATATGACTTATAAGACTTATAAAGCTAAATAGAAAATGATGCACGGTGATGCTTTGTAGTTTGACAAATATCACATTGAAAAAAAGATGGATTTTTATTTTTAAATAAATACAGAAACAAGTACATCAAATAGTGAAAGTTAGGATGGCCTAACCTAAGATGTCACAACATTATGTCATTGTTACTAGAGATAGGGATTGGCCCAATACAAGTCATTTGAGCTGGTCCACACATGGTACTTCCATTTTCAAAATAATAGAGTCCATCAATTTCCTTAGCTTTGCCAATCATCCTCCTTGAGTCCAATTCTTGAAAATCATAGAGGTTTGAGAAGAATTTAGCACAGCAATTTAAATCACAAGTTAATTTGTTAATAGATAGCAAATTACAAGAGAGGTTTGGAACATGGAGAACATTATGAAGAATAAGAGATTTTGAAATAGCTATTGATCTTTTTCCAGCAATTGTTGGAAGGGAACCATTGACAATTTAACCTTTTTGATTTCCTGCACATGGGCTATAAGAAGAAAACAATTTAAAGCAACCTGTCATATGGCTTGTTACACCAGAATCAATGATCCATGGACAACTAGTAATTGAGGAGACATTAAAAGCAATAGCTTGAAGATGATTACCTTTTTAAGCTTAAGAACAAGGGGAAGACATATTGTTTGAGAATTATGTGAATTGGAATAGTTTATACAATTGGTCTAATTGTTCCTTATTGAAGGAGATGTCTCTGTGGTTCCTCTTGAACCATTCAGATTAGCTTGCTTCTCAACACCTATTTGAAATGCTCTTGATTCACGATTGGATGATCTTGGCTTCCAATTCTGTGGTTTCCAATGTAGTTTCGAACATGTATCTCGTGTGTCGTGGCTTGTGGTAATGATCACACCGCACTTTTTGTCATCTTGTATACTCTGTCGTGTCTATCCAGATTGATCATAAGACTAAGTCTTAGTGGTGAGAGCAAAAGCTTTAGCAATAGGTTGGTTATTCTCTTCGAACATCACCTTTCGTCGACCTTCTTCTCTTCTTATTTCAGCAAACACTTAATGAAAAGTTGGCAGTGGTTTCCTGCCAAGAATTTGGCCTCTAACCTCATCTAGATTCTTGTTCAATGCTGCCAAAAAAACATATACTCTTGTCATTTTACATCATCTTCATGTATCTTGCATTATCATTTGCACACTCCCAATCTTTTTCATAATACAAGTCTTGCTTTTGCCACGATGCTTTCATCTCATTATAATACTCTATCACCTCTTGATCTCCTTGTTTAGAATGCCACAAATTTGTCTTCAACTCAAAGATTTGAGATGAGTTTTCCAGATCAGAGTATGTCTCTCGAATCGCTTGCCATAGTTGACAAAAACAAATAGGTTTTTCTAATTGCTAGCTCCATGAAATTTACAAGCCATACAATCACTAAAAAATTCTTAAATCTCCATGTCTTCAATGTTAGGTCATTGTTAGCTAGTTTCTTTGCCTCACTTGTGAGCTTTCCCTTGCTAGCAATCATGAGCTTCATTGATTGCGCTCATTCTAGATAATTTTTACAGTTTAGTTTGTGAATGGCAATTGGATAAATGGATTTTTAAATCCATTAATATTTACGGAGAAACACCTCTTCTAACAGGACCTACGGATGTTATGCCTTTTTTTCTAGTCATGGCTATTTTGCCATCACAATTTTCAAGTGAAATGCCTAAGCTTTGATACCATGTGAACAGAATAGAAGAGAAAGAGAAAATAACATCTTATTGATTAACATGAGTGTTATTAGGATTTAAATAAGACTAAAAGTTAAATTTTAAATTTTAACTTACAATCTACTCGAGCATAATTGTAAGAACTAAATAACAACCTAAGCATCTAAAAATCCAAATCTGTTGATATTTAACAGTTTATTTTTTATAACAAAAAATCCTGATATTTCAGCATGATTGTTGGGGATGTAACAGCTTTTTTGGAATGTCATCTCTTTGACACTAGAGAAAGAGCATTGCTTATTTAACTACAATATGTTCACCAATTTTCAATTTTGTTTTAACATTAGTTGTTATGGTTATCAGTCATTTTCATTTTTGTCATTATCTCTCTTCTTCTGGTGTAAATTATAGGTGAATCTCCTGTATTTTGACTTCCATGTGTTTTGAAGTAAAATCTTGTTACTATCAAATTGGATCACAAAAAGTTGCAGGTGGAACAAGGCAGCCCCTTCCTCTTTTTTAAACAAAGTACAGCTTAGCCTACCACCTTGAAACATATTATTTTTTCATTTTTAGGATTTACATCGTAGTGGGATAGAAGAGCTAGGGAACATGGGGTTCTTTTTTTTTTTCTCTCCGTAGTTCAACTCAGAGGATAACGATGGTGAAAATTCATGCAGATATGTGCAGGCACCATTGGCTTACCCTAGAGAGAGGAGAAGAAGAATGAATGGGGGAGAAACTTGGTTGCCATTTTGTATTTATTTGGAGGGGGGTTTTGCTGCCAGAATTTCGCCTTGTTACTGGTCTGATTATTATGCTGTAAATCCAAGAACCCCTGGTAACACTCAACTTGCGCCTTGGGTTGCCAGATTTTATAACTTGATTTAACACAAAATATAAAATTCTTACCCATTTATTTTATCTTCCTTTTTTTTTTTTTCTAAGAGAATTTTTTATATTACATTTTTTAATAGTTGTAATATGAGCATTCGGTATAAAATTACCCTCTCAATTGGATCCAGTTGCAGTTGTTATGATTGAACGATTAATCAATTGAGTCAACTCCATTGGTATTCAATAATTGAGTCAAATTTAAGGATGGGAGATTGTGGGATTGGAGTAAGCATACCTTGCTCAAAAAATTTATTCAGTAATTTTACTTTTGTATCTTTGATACTTAGTTTTATGTTTAAAAGTTAATTAATATCAATTAAAAAAAAAGTTAATAACATCAATTGCCATTCTCACATTTTGCTAGATGATACATGTATATATGATATGTTTAAAAAATTAAGTTCAATAAAATAATTCTATAAAGGTTTTTTAACATTTGAAAAAAATTCACTCCTATGCTTCAAATTAAATGTTCCTATTTGACGAGCATAGAGATTGAAAAAATATTTTGGTTTTTAAGTATCTTATGTTTTTCTTTTAAAAATTTAAAAAAATGTCAAAGTTTTGGGTAAATAGTATTTGTACGTCCAAATTTTAAGTCAAATTTTATTTGGTTTTTAATTTTTAAAAAGCCTTAATTGGATCATTAATTATCTATAATTATTTTATTTTGATTTTTTTATCAATCGAACCATTTAAATTGACGTATATACTAGTTAATGTCACATGAATGATGCGTGAACAATGTAGTTTGCATCTCATGTGAAAGATGAAGGGATTAAAATAGAATTTTATTTAAAATTTAAGGATAAAAATGCTACTATATCAAATTTTTATATTTTAGATATATTTTATAAATATTAAATTTAAAATAAATTTTTATATTTTTTATTATAATATAATATATTCATTAAATATTTTTTGTTTTTAATAGAAAATAAATTTTCAAAAATTTAAATTAAGTTACAATTCTCAAAAATTTTTTTGAAAAGAATTCTATATAATTTTTTAAAATTAAGCAAAAACTTTTATATCGGTTTAAAAAATTAAATAAAATTTTATATCCTTTTAAAATATTAACTAAAAATTTTCAAATCCTTTGAAAATTAATTTATTAATTGATTCATAATATTTTTATTAAAAAATTATTTTGAATCTAATTTTTATTAAAATTTTATATTTATAAAAAATTAAAAAAAATAGATAATCAAAACAACTTTTACTGCCTCTAATTTGATAATAGAAAGAAATCAAGTTATTGAAAATAATATTTTTTATTTTTGTATAAGTTAACAAAAAATATATTCAAAATATATTTTTTGAATAGAAAATAGATTTTTGAATATATTAATAAATCTATTTTTAAAATGATATGAAATTGTTCACTTAACATTTTAAAATGATATGGAGTTTTTATTTAATTTTTTTAAAACTGATATAGAAATTTTTATTTAATTTTTTAAAATGACAAAGGATTTTCAAAATTTTAACTAAATTTTAATTTTTGATATAATATTTTTTATTAAAATAGTATTTTACTAATAAATAATATCATAATAAAAATAAAAATATTTTAAATTATAATATTTTATAAAATATATATGAAATGTAAAAAATCAATTTTTCTTTAATTATTTTTAGTTTTCTTTTCTTTTTCCTTTTTTCTTTATAAAATATATTAGAAAAATGAAAAAAAAAAAAGATATTAAATATTTTTAATACAAATAAAATTTTTCGAAAAGAAAATAATATTTTCTATTATGGTTTATTAGTAAAATAATATTTTCAATATAAAATAGTTTTTTATTTTTAAAATTATATGTAAATTTTTTCAAAAAGTTTTTAAAAATTTTAAATTAATTTTAATTTTTGAATATATATTTTTTATCAAAGCAAAAATATTTAACTAATAAATTATATTACAATGAAAATATAAAAAATTTATTTTAAATTTAATAGTCTATAAAAATATATTTGAAATAAAAAATTGTCTCATAAAAATCTAACTGATATCTTTCACGTGGTGTGAATTGAAATTTATTGTTAATTCATAGGATTTCATAAACAAAAAGATCAAAATATGGCAATTTTAAAAAATTGTGAATCTAATTAAAACTTTTTAAACATTAAATTAAAAATCAAAATAAAATTTGACTCAAAATTTAGATATCACCAATACTATTAACTCAAAAGTTTTGTATGCAATATAGTATTACTCATCTGTTAGATGACAAACATTGACAGAAATCTTAAAAGTCTAGATCTACCATTTATCAAAAATTTTAAATTTTTAGGTTGACTAGTGGATGTGGCAGGGTTGTTGAGTTTCACAAAATCTAGAAACTCTTTTTAAGATTTAGCTAATTAGTTTCAAAAATTAAAAGGGTGAAAAATGGAGATTTAGTCATAACAAAATGATTAAAAAGGTGATTTATAACCTAAAACCTATTCTTGATTGTTTTCTCATAGTCTACAATTGTTAAAGAGTCCATTTTTGCATGGAGTTTGATAGAAAATCTATCAAGTGATGATAGACAAACATGTGATAGAAATCTATCGAATAGGCAAAAATTTTCCAACTAAAAAAAATCAATGATGTAACAAAGAGAGACCGAGTCAAAAGCCACATGCCTAAATATAAAAAATTTAAAAGATTTGAGTTAGTTTATGATTTTGTGGAATGGTTCACATTAATTAGTAAAAGTGGTTGCCTAGGTCAAAATCCAAGTAAATGGTTAGTACAAAAGAGGTGGTTATTAGTGAAAGACCAAATCAAGACCATGTGATCCCAAAAATAAGTTGCCTAACTTGGGAAGTTGATGCATTTTAAGAGGAAGTTGCTTTTTTGCTCCAAAATCTCAAGAAAGAGGCTAACGAAAATGTGTTAGATCTAGGCAATTGAAATGATCCTACGAATCTAGAAGTTTTAAAAATAGGACTAATAGTTGCATATCAAACACAGACAAAGCAACACATCAACTACACAACATGTTTTAAATCAACCTCAATGACTCTTGTCTTTACTTTTTCTCAAATTTCTTTTAAGTTTTCTCTATACTTTAAAGCTCCCCATGAGCATTACTTTATAGCAAATTCTATTTTCAGCAAGAAAATTGTTTAATTTTGGTTATTATAAGCCTATTGATACTCAATCAATCAACAATTGCTTCTAAGCACTTTGGCATTGAGTTTATTCTATTTCTTTGCGAAGAGACTTCAATTAATAAGATTTCTCTTGCTCTCATTTAAATTCCAATTTTGTTGAAATTTTTTTTATTTTACTTTAGGTTGTTCTTTAGTATTTTTAATTGGTTAAGTGCTCAATTTAGATTAAATGTTTAAATTGTTGTTCATTTCAAAACTAAATATATTATTTTATCCAAATTAAGATCATACGTTATTAACTTCTAATCATTTTGAACTTTTTTTAAATAAAAAAAAAAATGAAAGGCAGGAAAAAAAGTGACATAAAAATTACAAGGCATTTCTCTAATTTAAAAAATGTTTCTTTTACTTTAATATTTTTTTTCTTCTTTTCTTTCCTAGTTCCCTCTCTCCCTCACACCTATTCTCTTTCTAAATCTTTAAATCTCCCATAAACAACCCATAATCTTCTTCCCTAATACATTATCATTTTTCAAGCACTACTAGTTCTTCAACAACAACCAAGTCACACATAATAAAAAAAAAAAAAAAACACCACTAGTAATGGCAAACACTAATCATTCAACCTTATTTTATTTCCTCACATTTTACTTTATTTTCTCAAAGAAACAACTAAAATTCCATGAACCCCTTCACCCTCTCCTCCATCCATGCCAATTCCTCATCTCTTTCATTAATAAAGAATATTCAGTAATAGTATTTCAAAAGTCAAAATGACATAGACACACACACACACACACATATATATATGAAACCTGGCTTTTGTTTCACTCATGCCCTTTCAGTATCTTTTAGTATTTCAAAAGGTGAAGAGAGACGGCTCAACAAGGAAGCAATGGGAAATCACCAAGCTATTAGATCTAAGTTTTATCATTTCTTTTAAGAAGAAAAAATAGGATGGTAGGAGTAAAAAGTTATTTTTTTGAAAAAAATCAAAGTTAGTCAGTGATGATCAGAAGCTAGATTTTTGGTTGTTAGGGTGGCTATGGAGAACTGAAGAATGAAAATAGCAGGTATGAGAGAAAACTAGTAGAGAGAGAAGAAAAAGAAAATAAAAGTAAAAAGATTAAACTTTTCATTTAAAATTTTTTATTTTTTATGAGTTCAGCGACCAAATTTGATTTTCTTTCCAAGTCAACAGCCAATTTTGATTTTTTTCCAACTATTACAATTTAAATAATGGCTCGTACATTTCACTTTCTTAATTTTGTTAAAAAAATTTCTTAATTGATCAAATCAAAAAAGTGTTTGATCTTGATTCAGATGGAATAATATGTTTAATTTTGAAGTGAGCAACACTTTAAACTTGTCTATCATTTAACATTTCAAATTCTTATTTTAAATGATTTAAGCAATCTTTTGTAGTGTTAAAAGGAATTTATTAACTCAATCATCTTTTAAAAGTTGTAAATCGAATAATTGATTTCACTAAGGTGCATTTTACTCAAATTTCTAATAGCTACACCACTTCACAAGATGAAGGTTAGATTAAATGTAGATAAACAAACCAATAGGAGATTGAAATAATATGACTTTGGTGAAAATTCATTGAAACACTAAAGTATCAAATGTAGTTAAAGTATAAATAAACAACTTCAACATAAAAAAGAGTAAAAATGAAAAATCAAATGCTAAATTTTATAAAGGTTCTATCTTTCTATGAAGGTACTTACATCAATTCTTATAGCTTTTTCTTACCAAAGAGTTCAATGCATTATTTTTTTTTCAAGTTTATAAATACCTTTTGGAGGCTAAGGTATAACCTTTACAATCTATACCTTTCAAGGCTAAGGAGTAAACTCTCAATTCTACTTTTTAAGGCTAAAATAAACCTTTAAACTTAAAGTGAGTTTTTACCAAAACTCACAAAATACTTCAAAGCATTTTTTACCCCTTGATTCCAAATAAGTTTTAGGTTTTACAAATAATTTACAAACTAAAAATACCTCATAAAGTTGGATATCTACTTATATAGTACATTGAGAGACAAATGAAGCATGAATAAATATTGAATATTAGAGTTGAAAGAATTGAAGCACTAAACACTTGGAATCTAGGCAGAACTTTAAATATAACTTTAGGCAAAATTTTAAAAATACCTTTTTTCGTCGAAGATTCATCACAATATTTCTTGAAAATAAAAATAATATTATTTGTAGATAATGATTGTTGGTGACTTTCCAACATCTAGGCAAAATATGAAAAATTATTTCTCTTAGAATGTTATTTTAGTTTTATTTTCAAATCT